CTCTCCAGTTGATAGTTGGCTCCTTCCACATCCGTTCCATCTGCTCTCGCAGATTCCCAACACTTCTATTTTATATCTCCTCATTTCTGCGGCTACCTGAGCAGCCTTCCCAGCTTCGTACATTGTACGAACATTCCACGTCCCCATCCTTATTTTTGCTTTCATCGAAAGAAGGCACATCGGCTGACTGGCTTCCCGAAGGCTTTCACCAGCCTGCGTCATTTCACTTCCCCGATTCCAGCGAAAAATAAGGTCATTGTTTGTATTTTTAGAATTTTTAATATATTTGTGCGTTGAAGTTTTAGTAGCAATTTGGTTAAGTTTTGGGGGTGGAGTTGCTAGCACCACGCCCCAACCCTCCCTCTTTATCCGGGCTTGGGACCGGCTAGAATACTAGTGACCTAGTAATCTAGGCGAGGTTCACTATTGTATTATGTGCTGAAAATTCCACATTGTATCAAAATATGACAGTGCTTATGATATTAATTGTATGTAAATACAGTCTTTTATACTCTAGGATTGAACTAACAGCAGAAAGAGAAGTTAATACTAATTGGCTTATTGTCCTCCACCTTTCATACATCACCAGTTATACTCAAGATCTTTATTAAATACCAGAAAGATTGTCATGGGGTTCAAGACAACCTGACAGTGCTATTTATGAACATGTTTTTGACACGGGCGGTGTAATCTATTGTATCACGGCTTTCGGGGTTGAAACTAAACATTAAGCATGCATTATTACGATCTGCTGAAGAAGGAGTACTACGGTCGGTTGAAGCCTAAATTAGGCGTACAGAAAGATTTTGTGGGCCACCTTCTTTTCCTGACTGACTGGTTTCAACGTAGAACTTTGCACATATGTGCACCAGTTCAAGTTGCAGCTCTCCATGTACCAGACAAAGCAAGAGAGGAGATATTCAAAAGAGAGATGATAAACAGAGGTATGAGGCAAAAAGAATAGTAATATGGAATGACAATAGAATTTTATTGGATATGAGAAATCACAAGAAGTGGATGCATCTGCACCAGCATTTGAAAACGATCTTTCTTCTTTTCTTCTTCTTTTTTTCCTTCACGTTCCCCAGTGGAACATAGGGCTTCAAGCTAATGGCTTGAAGTTTCTGTAGCAGTGGTTATTTTACAGGATCGGGTTGCTAGCCTCATGCCCAACCTTTCCTCTTTACCAGCATTATTTCTGGCTCAGCGAGGTAAAGGAGTGCGTCGACCGGGGATCGAACCCCGCACCATGTGCATGGCCGGCGAGCGTCCTAACCGCTATACCACCGACGCACTTTGAGCTATATCACCAATTGTCTCCAGCCACTGGTTTCTACCATCTTGAGGACCCGAGAGAGTCAGGAATTATAGATCTCCCTGCGTGGGTGGCTTAAACTAACTGTTGTGGATTTCATTGACTAATGAAGACATGCTTTGGTTTGAACACCAATAGCTAACTCTTTTCCAATCTGATCCATCCTAATGTCATCTGACATTGCCCATCGTTGAGGAAGGCAGTGGATGGCTAGGGATGTATGCGTAGCACATGTCCTAACCATCTCTCTCATTCGGTGTAACTTCACAACCTCGTCGATTGATTCCCTCTCCTGACCTAGCAGCACTCGATGGATGTCTAACCTCAATAATGCTCACCTTATTAAAGCACCACTTAACACGGGAGATAGAACGCAGACACCTATGCTCAGAGACAGCTAGCTAGCCAGGCTTTTCATGTCTTACACTTTCAGTTACCATGTCTCACTCGCAGCCATGAAGAAGGACAGAGCTAGCTTCTGAGCAGTACACAGGCCTGTTGGTCGACAGTCGGATTTGACGCCTACACCAGAGATGGCGTGGGCCACCTTCCATTAGCCTTAGTATTTTATTGTTTCTGTATTTACAATCCAGTTATTGCTTCTCTTCTCATGTTATCCTCATACATCGTTCATCTTTCTAACATTTTAAACTACGCGTTATATATTTACTGTATTGTTCCTATGTTTCTTCGTGTATCGTTTGCTGTTTCATCATACTGCATAATGCACTGCATTTATCTCTATCTTGCTCTACGATTGTAATACGTCTGCCACCCGTTGCAGATCTTAGAAAATTTGGGTTTGCAAAACATAGGTGCGTTTGTTTGGTTCTTGGTGGGACTTAGAAAATATGGTCGGTAACAATAAGGATAGCAGTGGAGCTTTATGGAAGGATGATTACTGAAATTTGTCTATGGATTATTTTTTTTATTATTTTGATTACCACTGTGCCGCCGACGCATTCATCGACGGATTCGTCGATTAAGGTGGATAGGACATGTTTTACCTATGGCAAGTACCAAATCGCTCGATGATACAAGCCTAAGTTGTAGTGTGTTGGAATCACGTTTAGACAGGCCGAATTGATGCAATTCTGTGTGGAGTTTTACGTTGATTAATTAGTCAGTCAGTTGTCACTTATGAAGGAGCTCTACACTAAGTTGCACTGGCATTATTTACCCAATGACTTTGCCAAATGTCGTTTATATATGTGTGGTGGATAACTGTCGAAATAATTATTTTGTATTGATCTTACAACTGAACTATGTATCAAATTATTTGCATTTGACAGTGATACCTTGAAATATTGAACTGTTTTCAAATTTTCGCATTCAGTGCGTGTATGGAATATGTAGAGAACAGGATATGTAGTGAATTCAATTCATTTAATTATGTTTATTTTTCTTCATTTCGAAAAGTGGTGTCCATACTTTTGTGCTATACCGCTTTTGTATTCACATATACATGATACACTTCTTTTAATATTTAAGTGCTGGTTTGCAGAGATTTGATTCGTTACAGGATTTTATCATGAGCTGACATTGGTTCCAGAATCACTGGAAAACCAGTTGGGGGTACTAGACAGCTGTTTCGTCCCAATGTGGGGCTCTTTACCAGCACGCACTCTCTGGGGTTCGAAACTAGGACCTTCTTGTTACTAGGCGAGCTCGTAGACTATTATCCATAATGGAGACCATTAAGCCACTAGAACCTGATCCAATGGCCAGTCCACGAATTCTAACTTCTGCTGATTCACGATATGCGCGACGAGTACGAGCTCGCCTTGTAACCAGAAGGTCCTGGATTCGAACCCCTGAGGGTGCGTGCTGACAATGAACCCCAAACTACGGCGAAACATCTGTCTGGCAGTACTCCCAGGTTTTCTAATTGTTCTCTAACCGATTTCAGCTCATGATGAAATTCTGTAAACGCTTATTTAAATCGAGTACCTTTACATCTAATTTCGTATCGCGTTCATAATCTCGTTTGCGGTTGAGGATTGTACATTTTTAATGACAACTGAAAGTGGAATCCAGGATGTGCATTCCATTCTATTTTGGAATCCATCAGCTGGTGGTTTGCGCTATATATAGCGACTTGGTAAAGGTTGTAATTCATGGGCCATTGGATTGGGTTCCAGTCACTGAATGATCCACTAGCTCGCCTTATAACTGGAAGGTTCTGGGTTCGGATACCGGTGACTACTGCTTACTGCTAGAGATTCTCAGCCTGGGATGAAACAGCTTTCCAGTACACCCTCGCCTTCCAATGTTTCTCTAACTGATGTCAAACCGGTAACCAATCAAGCTCTTGGAAGTCAGCACTCTGAAGATGCTTGACTGATTTCACCTGAATGTCCGTATCGTTTAGGAACTTAGTACCGGCACTGTCAAATAACTTTCTTACTTTTCATGCGAAGATTGTTTTGGCGGAGTTCATCATATGAAATAGGAAAGAGGAGAAACATTTAGCCTGAAGTACCCATAATAGATTGGTAAGAAATTAGTTTTCCTTTACCTGGAGTACAAAGCGAAAAAATCATCAACAAGAATCGAAAAAAGAAACACAACAACTCAATGGTGCATTGAAAAGTACACTTCATGTCGCTAGATTGACTCTTCTTTATAGCACGAAATGCTTACTAGTAGAGTTTAAAGTATATAAATATCCTGTATAGTTGTGCGTCTTGTCAATTGTGTGACAAACATTCATAGTTTTATTTTTACACTATCTTCATATCATTGATATTAAAATGTTACTTAATCTTATTTTGTCTTCCAAATTATAATTTTGATGTGGTTGTGTTCTCTGAGCTGGATAGTTAATTTGCGAAGCTTTCATCACCCTACTAGGTGACATCTTCAGCGCATACTTCAATTCGTTGAAGTGAGCTTTCACATTTCTCCACGAGTTTATTAATCATCTCTCCTGGTGGTGACCTTGGACGTGATTAGTTGTTTTTGTGTGTTTTCACACCTTCTAGGCTACTTGTATTGGAACTGATTGTTTCTTTGACTTGAACTTTGACCCTTTGTGTGTGTGTGTGTGAGGTTTCTTTCTTATCGGTTGATGAATTTTGTCAGTTTCGATGTGTCTATTGATTGTCGATTCACTTGTTGTTTCCTCTGTCTAATATTTGAACATTTTCCCAATCGAATTAATGCCCGTGGTTGTCTGTATGCAGTGATATGAGCGAGGGAGTGGATGTCATATCTTTTGACAGCTAGTTTATGTTCATGGGTACGGAGACGAAGAGGAGGGACGTCCACTTTGGCCAATGTAGTGTTTTTCTCATTTGTTACGATTTATTTTGTAGATGATGTTGGTTTTATCTTCTTTCGCTGTTGAGTCTTTTGGTTGACATAGAACCAGCTGAGTGAAGTGATTTTGTTGGTTTGTGTGCGACGTCACTTCCTAAAGGTTTGAAGAGTCTTGCAGTGATTTCTGATATATGCTTTATATATGGTAGGGCTATTTTCTTTGTGCTTTCCTTGGGGGCTTTTGGTTTGATAGGTTGACTTGGGGGTATATATCTTTTGATGAAATTCCTCGGATATCCATTATTTTGGAAGACGTCCATGAGATATCTTTCTTCAATTTTCTTTAAGGTTGGAGTGCTGCAATGAGTCCCTCTTCAGTCTTAATGAATGTTTCTATTGTTTTTCCTCTTCTTCGTCTTTTTAGGCAATAAATTTGTTATTCTACAGCCTGGTGATGAAGCTGAACTACTCGGTGATTCTAATGATGGTGATTCTACTGATGTTAGTAGTATAACTCAGACAACAACAGCGGACTTAACATCGAGTAAATCACCTACAGATGATCTTGACTTCGCAATGACATCACCACCATCATCAACAACAACAACAACAGCAACTAAAATCTCTTCAAAGAAACGTCGTGCTAGTGATGATCTTAACCCGGAAGATATTCTGTCTGTCGAAAAGAAAATCGCCATAGAACCTGTATCTTCTGCTACCACTGCTACTGTTGCTTCTATTGGTGTAGATCATCCTACTGCTGAGTGTAAAGATACTACAACGGCAGGTTTATCAGATGCAGAGGTAAATGGTTTATTACTATTATTATTACTATTGTTATCACTTGTGTTAAAATACTGCTCCCTAAGTCATTGATTATCCCGATATACAAGAAGGGAGGCAAATCTTCCTGTGATAATCACAGGGGATTAGCTTGACCAATGTATGATAATCTGAAGTTCTAGGCTCAATAATACTGCATAGACTAAGTGGTGCTCGGGAGGAACGAACACAAGAGAACCAGGTAGCCGCCTTTACACCAGGAAGAGGGTGTATTGATCATATCTTAACCCTTCGGCAGATTCTGGAACGGAACTCACTTTAGCGACTTAGGGATTGACTTGTTACCAGGGAATAATCTAGTTGACTTAGATTATGCAGATGATATAGTCCTTCTAGGTGAAGACGCTGACAAAATGCAGAATCTTCTGAACACCTTGAGCTGCAATCTGCGAATGTTTGGCATGCGATTTGCTCCCGCCAAATGTAAGATGATGCTACAGGACTGACTGGACTACATTGACTCCTAGCTTAGAAATAGGCAGTGAAGTGGTAGAGGGTGTTGACCGCTTCACTTATTTGGGAAGTTGCATCAGCCAACGGCAGCGTATTGATCTCTGACGTAATCTCAGCACGGATACAGAAGGCTAGTTTCGCATATGCCACTTTACACCGTCTCTGACGTAGACGTGATATCTAACTAGCTGTCGACCAAAGGGTGTGTGTACAGCTCAGCAGTCCGCTCCGTTTTCCTTTATGGCTGTGAGACATGGCCATTGAGAGTGGAAGACATGAAAAGGCTAGCTAGAGTTGTCTTTGATCATAGGTGTCTGCGTTCTATCTCCCGTGTTAAGTGGTGCTTTAATAAGGTGAGCAATATTGACGTTAGGCATCCGTCGAGTGCTGCTAGGTCAGGAGAGGAAATCAATCGACGAGGTTGTGAAGTTACACCGAATGAGAGAGATGGTTAGGACATGTGTTACGCATGCATGTCTAGCCATCGCCTTCCTCGACCGACAGGCAATGTTAGCTGACATTGGTTCAGGTTGGAGAAAAGCCAGTGGTGCTCAAACCAAAACATGGCTTCATCGGTCAATGAAAGCCGCAACAGTTAGTTTAATCCAGGTAGGAAGGTGTAGACTTCCTGGTTGTGGTCGTCAGGACGGTAAACTCCAATAGCTGGAGAAAATTGGTGCTATGGCTGAAAATCGTTCTCAATGGCTGGTGCAGATGCATCCACTCCTTGTGACCTCTGATTTGCAATGAAACTATATTCTTCTTCGATATTACTATTCTTTTTTGCCTTATATCTCTGTTTACTGTATCTATTTCGCATTTCATTTTACTATCCACTCTGGCTTTGTGTGCTGAGTGAAGTGTGGCCACTCGAAGTGCTGCTGCACATCGGTGCAAAGTTGTTCTATGTTGAAACCAGTCAGTCAGTCCTTGGATTTTCTAAATGGTCAAATTTGCATACTTCACACCATTCCATGTGACATTCGACTTCAGTTTGACTTTAGAAAGCAGAATTATTCAGATCACAGTGCATGCGATCTGCTTGAAACCATAAATTGGAATCAAGAAAATTAACATCAGTGCATCATGGTATATACTACTGGCTGATTAGTTTATATAAGTAGCATATATCATCATGTGTTTACACTACTAGTCATTGGTTCATCTGAATTGTGATCAAGATTTAACTGAAAAGTTCCAAACTATAATTGGACGCCCAGTGAGAAGTAGACATTTGTAAAATGTCAGCGAAATTTAAATACGTAACACCAATGTTTCTTTCGGCAAACTGGTCCGAAATTATTCAGGGAGATTAGTCGAAATTCTGAAAACAGAGGTTTATATATCTCTTTTTTTTCTAAACTTTGTCCAGTCATATGAGTTATAAAACAGGCGTCAACATGTATAATAAACAGAATTTTATGAGCTGTGATCAAAATTTGACCTCAGACTTTCAATCATTAGTCTGCCTTTGTTAAATACTTTAAACACAGTGTACTTTTCATCAGAATTTTAGTGATTACGTTCAACTAAAAGTTCATGGTCGTAGATAACTGAATATAAAAAATATATATAAGCGTATATGCGGTAAATAATGGTGTGTGTATGTGTGTATGGGTAAACAGTTGTAAATCATTTGTTAGCCTCTCCATAAGAAGATATAGACAATCGGGAATTTAGACCAAGTATGATTAATCAGCGATACATATCCATTTTTATTTATTAATGAGGACTTGCCATGCATCAGTCAGCTAACATCACACCTTCACGTCTGTTCAAACGTTTGTGACTCACCTTTCTGTAGAACCTTTCTCCTATCAAAGTCGATCTTGTTTCCCGTTTCTATCGAGTACAGTGCATTCACTGATTTGCTTTCTAGCTTCTTCAAGTCTTCATAGGTCTTTGGAACCACTTTTAAACATTGTTTATGCTCCCTTACTCTTATATTTATTTAAAGTTTCTCCTACACATACGGCATCACAATCCCCACATTTGATCTGGCACACACACAATTCTCCTGGTTGTCTTCTTCTACTTTATCATTAACCTTCACCAGTGATGATGAGCATATAAGGTGTTAGTTGTATGAAAATACACTTTTATGTCATGATTGTTAAGGATTCACTTTATCTCATCCGACGTTTCTTTGCGGTAAGGAATCAACGCCGTACTAACCCAATTGTTAGCGACAGGTTTCGATCCATCCTTATCTTCACATTTTAAATATCTTCTTATGAAGGTTTTGGGATAATTATTTGATACAAGAGTGGATTGAGCCAATTTTAGTTCCCTGCTTATCTCTTCCTTCTCAGTAACTAGACTTTTTTTTCTACGTATGCCTAGTCATCGCCTTCCTCGACGGGCAATGTTTGCTGATATAGGGTCAGGCTGGAAAAGAGCTAGCTAGCGGCGGTCAAACCAAAACATGGCACCAGTCAATGAAATCCACAACAGTTAGTCAAAGTCACGTAGGAAGATGTAGACTTCCTGGTTGGGGTCATGGGGACGGTAAAAACCAATGGTTGGAAACAATTGGTGACATGGCTCAAAATCGTTCTCAGTGGCGCAGATGCATTCACTCCTTGTGACTTATGATTTCCGATGAAACCTGTTTTGTTCTCTGTTATTACTATTCCTTTGTCTCACACATCTGTTTACTGTCTATAGTATGCATTTCTTCTCTTGCTTTGTGTGCTACATAGAGTGTGGCGACTTGAACTGCCGCACATATGTGCAAAGTTCTATGTCGAAAACCGACCGACCGACCGAACTAGACGTTTGGCTCTATTAATCAGATTCATGGCAACAGTTACTTTGATGGTAAAGGGGGATATGCTGAAAAGTAGTCTGGGTATTTGTCCGAATGTGTCAGTTTTCTGAAAATGTTTATTTTAAGTTGACCATCTGGTTGTATTTTTACTGATGAACAGTCCAGGAACGCCAAATCATTTTCGTCGGATTCAGCCTCTTTGGAAAACTTAATGATTTCTGACATATTGTTTAATAGATGAAAAAATTCATTCAACATGCTGCGTCTGATCATGACGAAGGTATCATCCACGAATCTTAGTAACCGCATTCTTGGAGGACTAGATCATCTCATAATTGCATCTATACTCATGAGTGCATAAACAGATGGGCAACTATCGGCGACACTGTTGATCCCATAGCAATGCCTTTTGATTGACCGTAAAGAACCCCTCTAAATGTAAATAAGGTGGAGAGTAGACATAATCCCAGTGCCTTCATAATTTCATCTGGATTTAAAGAACAACGAGCACTGAGTTCGTTGTCAGAACAAGAGATGTCCTCTTTATATATAAACCTCTGTTTCTTTTCTTAATTTTGATTAATCTCCCTGAAGAATTTCGGACCAGTTTGCCGAACGAAACATTGGAATTACGTATTTCAATTTCGCTGAGATTTTACAAATATAATTTTTACATATGTGAATTAGTCATTGGTTTAAGTAGTTGACTTCTAACCACTAGGTCCCGGGTTCGAATCCGGGTAACATCACAGAGTTGTCATAGAGCAGTAAACTTAGCTCATAGTTTCGTGAGATATAAAAAATCTGCCTCAGGTAACTGACAAATAATCGATCATTTAATGATAATAGATAGTTGGAGGCAATCGGCAGGAAGCCTTGCTTGACCCAGGTTTCGTGCTAGTTGGCGCTCACCAGTCAGCAAGGTGTCTGCAACTTTGAAGGAACTCATGTCCCTTCTGAGATTCGAACCCACGTCACCCAGTGCCGCCTGTAGTCAGAGACGTTACCACTGAACTATTCGGGCTCGCGATTATCCTCCTGTAGGACTGTAGTAGGTATTTTGATTGGACACCAGTAACTAACTAGTGCGACGTGTCTAGTCCTTTCTTTGGTGCAGACTGAATTCTATCAGTCAGGTGTGCAATGTGGCCACCATGTCGCTAGGTAGATCACCATCATGGTGCACATTGATTGCCGATTGCCTCCAACTATCTAATATGTCATCAAATCAATGTGCACCTCACGGTGGCGAGCTACCTAGTAGCCTGGTGGCCACATTGCAAACCTGACTGAGTGATAGAATTCAGTCTGCATTAAAGAAAGGACTAGATACCCCATCACACTAGTTAGTTACTCTAGTGTCCAATCAAAGTCGATCACTTAATTTAACAATTCCCATTGTAACACTAAAAAGGCAATATTCACCAAAGAGACTGTTTTCGATGAATTTGTTATCAGGCTGTATAATCATACATAATACGTATGATTTTTAACAAATTCTATTTCGTGAAGAAATTTAAACATAAGGTGTGAATTTCGGAAATTGCTCAAAATGAGAATAAAAATGGTAACAGGAACAATCTCAAGTTTCATCACTAAATAACTCAATTTAGAGAACTATTGAAAAGCAACAATGAGTGCCAGACAGCTGTTTCGTTCTTGTTTAGGTCTCCTCAACAACACACACGCATGACGCCACTACCTGAGGTCCAACCTAGAATCCTCAGTTTACAAGGCG